AAAAAAACAGAAATGAGAGGGAGGGGGACAGAGAGAGAGAGAGAGAGAGAGAGAGAGAGAGCCATTTCTCACAGAAAACACCGGGAACCACAAAACCAGGGTGTCAACTCATAAAATATTTCTATGGTCTTTTTAGAGTTGCCAACAGAAAGGAAGCAGTGCGGCAGCTTGCAAAACCGAAAGTGCATTCCATAAATGTTTTCAAAGATAGTAACTAGGTGACTGAAATTTCTGTCGCTCAAAATTCTAACTGGAGAGCATGATTGATGACTGGGCTATGGATGTGTCTCGTTGGAGAATATGAATTATGATATACTCGGGGCGGGGAGGAAACAGGGACAAGGGTGACAATGAGCAATGTGCCTCAGAGTTGGCTACACCCAGGTAGTGCCGGCATATTTACTCTCAATAAATCCTTTTGAAGTTTTAGAAGTTTGGCTCGAGACTCATGATTTAAATGGGGGTAACTGCCGGAATCCTGTGTGTGTCATGGGACTGAGTGGGAGTGACGTTGAATTGGCCACGCCCACCTGGGTTTTGTGGCTCCGTGTTTTCTGTGGGAAGTGGGTCCAAATGACTCTTTTGAGTGTTTAAGGTTGCAGACCCCCTGGTCTATGTACAGGTAGTCCTTGATTTGCGACCGTTCTTTCGGTGACTGAAAAAAGGGACTCATGACCGTTTTTCACACTTACAACTATTGCCCCTTGCTCCCCATATGCTCATATGATCAAAATTCAGCCGCTTGGCAACTGACCCATATTTAGGATAGTTGCAATGTCACGTGATTCCCCCTTTGTGACTCTCTGACCAGCTACGTCAACGGGGAAAGCCGGATTCGCTTAACAGCCCTGTGACCAACTCACTAACTGTTGTGGTTGGCCGGCAGCAGGTGCGGACGGCTGAGGAGAGCGAGGACTCAGATGAGGGGCCAGGACTGCTGCCGTCAGAGATTGTGGGGGCTGGCAGCAGCGATGAGGAGGTTCCCAAGGAGCCTGTGCGAAGTGCGTGTGCACGCAGGGCTGCTCGCCGGAAAGGACTTGGGAGTAAGGCTGCAAGGTAATGGCCCCTCCTTCAAGAAGATAAAAGCCAGCTGTGAATTGGACGTTCTTTGCAGGAAGCAAAGACATTTTGAAACTCGAGCCTCATGGACATTGCAGTATCTTAGTTGGTATTTGAAGACTCTTGTGCTGTGAAATATTTCTAGGTAACCTTATCTGTTATTCTTGGCAGCCTTGCACAGTTTTGGCGAAGCTTGTGCTTATCAAAGTTAATTTGCAGAAGCCTTTTAACCAGGGAGTCGTAAAAATCATTAAAAGGTTTCTGTTCCCTTTGGTTTGTTTTTCTCTTACTGGAAAAGGGTTTGGGTCAGAACACTAACATGTTATTAGCTGAATGACTGCGATTGTGGCTCAACAATTGCAGCAAAAAGGTCATCCAGTGGAACATAACTCCTTTAACGACCGTCTCATTTAGCGCACGACTCCATTGTGGTCGTTAAGTCGAGGACTACCCGTACACCATAAACATGGCACATACCTCTTTCCCCTCAGTCTTTGCTTCTTCAGGAGGAGTTAGCAAAAGAGAGAGACCTGGAGGTTTGAATCCATTGACTGGGCAGAATTTTAAAAAAAAGAGAGAGAGAGAGATTTTTAATAGGGAATTTTGAAATAAGGAAGTCTTTTCCTTGTTTATTCGTTAAAAAAATGTTATAAAAGAGGATAGGGGGGGAAGCTCTAAGGAGAAGCAGCCTCTAAATCAAATGACAGGAGAAAGTGTTTCTGCTTAAAAACTTCAAAAACTTCTTTCTACTCAGGATTCAGGAGGAATCCTAATGGTAGATGCGAATGGCCTTGGGAGAAAGAAGAGAAAGTCGCAGACCTATGGGTAAGAGATATCTCAGCCCACAGAGAAGGAGTGTGAGAAACTCCTTCAAAAGCTAACCTCCCTTGTTTTCTGGAGAGCAAAAGGAAAGGAGGAAAGAAATATTTTCCTTTTTGCAAGGTTTTGTTAACGTAACCTTACAATAAAGACAGAGCTGACGCTCACGGTTATCTGCTTCTTATCTGGACTCCCTTGCAGAGCTAACAGACCCCTTTTGATGGAGGATTTTTTATTAACATGACTTATTCGACTTGGAACTTAGAGCAACTTTATCGTCACTTTGAATGTACACTAATGGGCATACATTAAAATGAAATTTCACTGCATACAGTGCTCAAAGAGTCAGCATCTCCAATATATACTACATAAACATATATATTAAATAAATAAACAAACAAACAAACAAATAATGTGCATACCCACATATATTATATGAGGTATAATATATTTTTAGTTTGGATATATACATGTACATGGCAAAAAAAAAAAAGGAATCTTGCCAGTTTACCATCCTTTGCTGTTTGCTGGTTAGTTTTTCTTGTTCCTAACTAGCCTTTTCTATTCAGGCAGCTGACCAAAACTAACGATCCTAAATTAATTGCCTTTCCTAGTGAGGTAGCTACAGCAATGGCCCTTAGACTTATATGCCGCTTCGCAGGCCTCTCTAAGCGGTTTACAGAGTCAGCCTATTGCACCCAAACAATCTGGCTTCTCATTTTACCGACCTTGGAAGGATGGACGGCTTGAGTCAACCTTGAGCCGATCAGGATTGAACTCCTGGCAGCGGGCAGAGTTTGCCTGTACCATCACTAAACAGGTGGTCCTCAACTTTATAAACTGTAAGTTTAGTGACCGTTCGAAGTTACAACGGCACTGGAAAAAAGTGACTTACGACCATGGCAGCATTCCCTGTGGTCATGTGATCAAAATTCAGAGGCTTGGCCACCGCTTCGTATTTATGACGGTTGCAGTGTTGTTCCGTGTGTGTGTGTGTGTCACGTGATCTGTTTTTGTGACCTTCTGGCAAGCAAAGCCAACAGGGAAGCCAGGTCCGCTTAACGACAGGGCGACTAACGTAGCAACTGCAGTGAGTCACTTAACGACGAAGGCAAGAAAGACCGCAGAATGGGGCAGAGCTTGCTTAACCACTGTCTCGCTTAGCGATGGAAATGTTGGCCTCCATTGTGCTCGTATCTGTATGCCAAAGATTAACCTATCAACTAAGGTCAGTGGTGGCAAACCTTTTGGGGCTCCCTTGCCGATAATGCTCGCGGGCCAGCACCCAGAAGGCAATGTGTGCTGCCACCCCACTCCGTCCTGCGCATGTGTGCGAATTCCCCCTGCAGCACGCTACCCGTCTGCGCATGCATGCGAGATCCCCTTGCCGGACGCTGTGCGCCCGCCACACAACTCCCCCGCCGCGTGCCACGCATCTGTGTCTGCGTGCGCAATTCCCCACCACATTCCCTGGGCCTGCGTACGAGATCACCCTTCCACGGGCCGTGCGTCAGCGGTGTGAGTGATCACCCCCGTGCCACGTCTGCGCATGTGCGCGCGACCCCCAGTGCATGCGTATCTCTGTGCATGCACACGTGTCTCCTGCGCCCCGCCCTCCTGCGCCAGATCAGCTGTTGGGGGGAAGGCGCGACAATCAGCTGTTGGGGGGAAGGCGCGCGCACGCAAGGTAGCTCTTCCGGGCAAGCTCTCGTGTGCCGTGGGAAATGGCTCTGCGTGCCACTTCTGGCACGTCTGCCATAGGTTCACCATCACAGACTTAGGTCCTGCACTCTTTGCAACAATGATCTTGCATGGATTATTGTTCTGAAGAGGAAAAAAAAAAACCCTTCACAAAAGATGAACCGGCTCAGCTAATAATTAGATATTGAAGAATTGAGAAGGAGATGGGAAATTTAAAAAATGTGATCGATGGGATTCTACCGGTTCGCACCTATTCGCTAGAACCGGTTGTTAACATTCCAAGCAGTTTGGAGAACTGGTTGTTCGAAGAAATTACTGGGCTAATCCTGTAAGGAAGGCAGGAAGGAAACATTCTGGTGTTGCTTACAGAAACTGCCTCTCCGTTAACCCTTATTACATTCTTGGCAGGACTAGACTTCCTGTCTCAGGAACTTCTCTGGAGTTTTTTCCCCCTCCTTTGCTGGTACTTTGCTTGTGTGGAGTGACCATTCAAAGTTACAATGGCACTGAAAAAAGTGACTTCTGACCATTTTTCACACTTATGACTGTTGTAGCATCCCCACAGTCATGAGAGGCCAGGCGAGGAGATGCGTGCTTCTGATGTGAGTGATATTGAGTTGGCCACGCCCAGCCAGTTACATGACCACCAAGCCACACCCACCAACTAAGCCACACCCACAGAACCGGTTATTTAAAAAAATTGAATCTCACCCCCCGATGGATACATGCATGCATATCTACATGCATGCATCATTACCAAAGTTTTACAGGTCTGACCAGAGATGCAAGGACAGAAGAGAGGGCGCATCAGGTTCTTCTAGAACTCAGCTGGTGCAACTTTTCTGACCCTCCACGATCGACTTTCGTTTCCCCAATTATCTCCTCCACAAGGCTGAAGAGGTGGAAGGAATTTTGCCCCTGGCTCCTCCCCCGCCCCAAATTGGGTCACCCATAAAAACTCACAAAAGGAAAAGCAGAGGAAAATTTAAGAGCTGCTGATGTCTGACCCAGCAATTTGGCATCCACATCTGGTTCAGGTTCACCACGGACTGGTCCCTTTGCGGCATTCAGGGCCTCCTCGTTCTCAGCTACCAGGAAGTCCACCGGCTCTTCTTTGAATGGACTCTGAAACAGGAAACAGAACATCTATGGAGATCCTCAGTCATCCAAGGTCGTGGTTGTCCCAAAGGTGCTTTTTTTTCAAGAGGCAACTAGACCAGTGGTCCCAACCTTTTTCGTACCACGGACCGGTACCGGCATCACAAAATGATCCACGGACCGGTACCAGCATCAGCACGCACGACCAAGGCAAGGCGAGCCGAGCGACCGGCCAGCCAGCCGTCCCCCGCTTCTCCCCGCCACCTTCAACTCCTCCTTTGTACCTTCTCGCGGTCAACGGGCTTTTCGGGCTCTTTCTTAATCTCCTCCTGAGTAACGCGAGACTCCACCGCCATCGGAACGGTTCTTCGTTCGAAGCCGCCCCCCCCCCTTCTTCGACGAAACTAAGGCGCGAGGATTCCTTCAGCACCCAAATGCCGCTTTCCATCCAACCGACGACCGACAAGCTCACCCGGAAGCACTTTCTCAAGTGCTGTCAAAACAAGATGGCGGCGCCCAAGCAAAGTAGGCGGCCCGGTACAAAATGATCCACGGATCGGTACAGGTCCAGGGCCCGGTGGTTGGGGACCCCTGAACTAGACTTTCTGGTGTTTTGTTTCCTTTGAAGACATTTCACTTCTCATCCAAGAAGCTTCTTCAACTCTCAATTGGGTGGTGGGGAAGGGAAAGGATTTATACTCCTTGCAGGCAGCTGGTCATTTGCATTCTTTTAGAGAGCTGTTGAGGCCACTTGGTGGAGTATGAAAGGATTTACAAAGAAAAACTGCAGACTACAGGAACCATTTGCGCTTCAAGTTGGAGATGCAAACAACACAAACTCCTGCCCAACAGCCTGCACCTGCCTTCAACAAGCAAAGAAACCACAGGGCGGAAAACAACCTGCACAAATCTCAGCTTCATAACCGTCCATTCAGCAGTTCCATGGAGGCTCCACTCCCATTTGCACCACTCAGGTGACCCTGAGGACACAGACAAACCTCCAAGTGGCCTCAACGATTCTCTCAAAAGAATGCAAATGACCAGCTGTTTGCGAGGAGTATAAATCCTTCCATTCCCCACCATCCAGTCAGAGTTGAAGAAGCCTCTTGGGTGAGAAGAGAAACGTCTTCAAAGAAAAACTAGAAAATCCACTTCCCTCCTGAAAAACACCTTTGTAGCAGGAAACAGTGGTACGATGGGAGAGGGTAACATGGTTTCTGATTTTTCAAGGAAAAAAGGAGATCACAGCAGCTTTTAAAAAAAAAAATTAGGCTCTTTGAAAGTCAATTAGCTGTCTAATTATAAGGATGAGATTGCCAAGTCCCTTCTACCAGTGCCAGGATATATTTGGGACAAAGTGCAGCAATATTACTGCATTAACACCCCTTTTATTTATTTGATACAGTTTATTTCATTTTATTTATTTATGATACAGGTCTACCGAGGAATTATTGAGTCTGTCATCTGCACCTCTATAACGGTCTGGTTTGGTTCTGCAACCCAACATGACAGACACAGACTCCAGAGAGTAATTAGGACTGCAGAAAAAAAAAATTACTTCCAACCTGCCTTCCATCAAGGGCGTGTATACTGCATGAGTCAAAAAGAGGGCTGTGAAAATATTGATAGACCCCCCACATCCTGGACATAAACTGTTTCAACTCCTACCCCAAAAATGACGTTATAGAGCACTGCGTATCAGAACAACTAGACACAAGGACAATTTTTTCCCCAAACACCATCACTCTGCTAAATAAATAATTCCCTCAACACTGTCCAACTATTTAGAAAGTCTCCACTACTATTATTATTAACTTTCTCATCACTCCTTATCACCCATCCCCTCCCACTTATGACTGTATGACTAACTTTGTCGCTTGTATCCTTACGATTTATATTGACTGTTTCCTAGTATGATTTGATTGCCTATTGTACCCTATGACTATTATTAAGTGCTGCACCTGATGATTCTTGACTCTTGACGAATGTATCTTGTCTTTTCGTGTATACAGAGAGCATTTGCACCAAAGACAAATTCCTTGGGTGTCCAATCATACTTGGTCAACAAAGAATTCTATTCTATTTAAAAGTCTTCTATAGTAGCCCACCTTACGCACCGTAATCCTGGGTGGCTTACAAAACATCCTCCGCTGAATTTTTGCCAATTCAACATGTGATGGTTAGCTGCTGGGCTGCCCTGCTCACTCACACACTGTACACTGTGGTGTAGTGAGTTTAGTAATACTCCGCAGCAATTCCCTTCAGCAACCCCCCCCACCCCCAGAATTGTCCTAATTAAGTCCAGTCACGAGCAGACCAATGTTAGCCCCCCAGAGCAATGGTGTAAGAGTCTGCAAAGCACTTGAAAGTCCCTCAAACAGAATAAATCCACCAAGCCAACTGAAATCCACGATCAGTCAAGCAAAGGACAGAGTTTCCAAGACAATCAAAGTCAAGGCAGGGTGTCCATCCAAAGCAGGGCAGGAATCACCACGACCGGAAAACACACAGCTAGGAAACAAACAAGTTGTTCCCAGCAACACTTCTCCCTGTCTGCAGTGCTAAATAGCCAGCTCCTGGTGCATCCATATCAAGAAGAGTAGTCTAGCTCAGTGGTCCCCAACCACCGGGCCCCGGACCGGTACCGGTCCATGGATCATTTTGTACCGGGCCGCCTATTTTGCTCGGGCGCCGCCATCTTGTTTTGACGGCACTTGAGAAAGTGCTTCCGGGTGAGCTTGTTGGTCGTCGGTTGGATGGAAAGCGGCGTTTGGGTGCTGAAGAAATCCTCGCGCCTTAGTGTCGTTGAAGGGGGGGGGCGGCTTCGAACGAAGAGCCGTCCCGATGGCGGTGGAGTCTCGCGTTACTCCGGAGGAGATTAAGAAAGAGCCCGAAAAGCCCATCGACCGCGAGAAGGTACAAAGGAGGAGTTGAAGGTGGCGGGGAGAAGCGGGGGACGGCTGGCTGGCCGGTCGCTCGGCTCGCCTTGCCTTGGTCGTGTGTGCTGATGCCGGTACCGGTCCGTGGATCAGTCCGTGGATTGTACCGGTCCGTGGTACAAAAAAGGTTGGGGACCACTGGTCTAGCTGACTTTCTCTGTTCCTGCCTTTTTTCTGCCCTACGTGTTCTTGGATCAGGTGTAGAAGGCAGTTCCTCCTCCTCTTCTCTGACCATCATAAGGATCATTAAACTAATCAAGTTTAACCAGGAGGCTGATTAAATTAAATTAATTTAAGGAGCAGAGCAACCTGGGATTAAGGAGACACTTCCTCACAGTGAAGACAATTAGCCAGTGGAACAGCTTTGCCTGCAGAAGTTGTGGCTGCTTCAACACTGGAGGTTTTGAAGATGAGGCTGGACAGTCCCCTTGTCTCAAATGGTATAGGACAGGGGCGTCAAACTCAATATCATTGAGGGCCACATCAGAGTTGTGTTTGACCTTGGGGGGAGCTGGGCGTGGGCATGGCCAGGCTGGGCGTGGCCAACTTGATGTCACTCATGTCGGGGGGCACCTGTGATGGTGGCCTGAGCGCTCTGCCAGCAAAAACGGGCTCCCGAGCTCCGTTTTCGGCTGCGATGGCGTATTGCAACCCTCCGCCAGCGAAAACGGACCTCGGGAGGGCCGTACACAGCCCTCCTGGGCTCCATTTTTGCTGGCAGAGGCACTGTGGGTCAGTCCTTTGCTGTTTCCAGAGTGATCCCACGGACCAGATCTAAGCACCCCGCCCCTCGGGCCTTGAGTTTGACACCCTGGTATACGATCTCCTGCATGGACTAGAAGACCTCCAAGGTCCCTTCCAGCTCTATTCCGATTGATTGATTGATTGATTGATTGATTGATTGAAGTCTGCAACTGCGTGCTTTCTCTAGCTGGAGCCTCAGACAAGCCCCTTCCGGAGGAGGGCTGCTCAGAGCCATCAATTAACTCGGCTCCTGAAGAACAGGTTCATCCTCCAGCTCAGCTGAAATCTTAAAATGGGTATCTGGGAAATCGTCCAAGGGAAGACACCACAGATCCTCTGGCTCACTAATTTACAGCTAGTCCTCGATTCACAAGCATTCGTTTAATGGCTGCTCAAAACTACAATGGTGTTACAAGTGGTTAGAAGAAATTTGTGGAATGAAAATAGAACATAGACCAGAGTTCTTTCTGCTAGGGATTAATACAAAGGAAATATGATAAAGAAAACATATATTTAATAATTCATATAATCACTGCAGCAAGATTGGCGTACACACAGAATTGGAAAAGTAAAGATACCCCAAATGAATTTGAAATATTGAAGAAAATTATGACGTGCGCAAAAATGGATAAACTAACAAAGGAACTAAAAAAATAAAGAGGATTTGGATTATTATAAAATATGGGACAAATTTTATGGTTGGCTAGAGATGAGGAAGATTCAGGAGAATAAGGAATGATTATATGTATATTTAATGTATATGGAATGAAATTATGTATTATTATTATTATTGGATTTAGCAATGACAAAGATTGATGTTAGGAATGACTGTACCAGGTTCAACATTTTTAATGTATTTTGTGTTTGTGTGTGTTCGTTTAATAAAGAAAAACTTTTTAAAAATTAAAAAAAAACAACTACAAGTGTTAGAAACAGTGACCTCCAATTGGTTCTTACACCTACAACAGCTGCAGTTCTATTGGTCATGTGATCAAAATCTGGGCGTTTGGCGACCACCGTTTTATTTGTGATGGTCCCAGGGTCATGTGATTGCCATTTGCAACTTTCCTAGGGGGGGATTCTGGCTAGGAAAGTCAATGAGGGAAGTCGGATTCACTGACCGATCGTAAGTCACTTAACGGCCGTGGCAAAGATGGCCATAAAATTGTGCTCAAGTCACATAATTGACTGCACTGATTAACAACGGATGTTCTGGTCCCGATTTTGGATGTAAATTGAGAACTACCTGTGCTGTAAGAATTCAGCCTCCACAGTTCAAAAGTTTGGGCCTTAGGATGATATGTAACTAATGACTTAACAACTTTTCTTGCCACACTTGTTAAATGAATCACTGCAGTTGTTAAATTAGCAACACGGTGAAGTGAATCTGGCTTCCCCATTGACTTTGCTTGTCAAAAGGTCGCACAAAGTGATCACATGACCTCAGGACACTGCAACCGTCATGTGACCATGGGGATGTGTCATGCCCCTGTCGGAGTCTGAATCTGAGGAGGAAGACAAACAGCTGACAGGGAGTGGGAGTGTGGTTCCGTTGGCTGTGAAGGAGGCTGGGGAAGGGCAAAGTCCGGCTGGGCAGAGCAGGGAAGAAGTAGAACAAGGGAGAGGGGGTTCAGCGGAAGACCCAGGCCCACCCCCTCTTCATCCTAGGGCACGCAGGGAGGAACAGAGAAGGGAACAACGTGGGTTGTGTGGCTTATGGGGGAGGAAAGGGCCCTGATTCCCTTCATTAGCTGCAGCTGGGAACAGTGTATAAAAAAGGCAAGCTGCGTACGGCAGGCTGCTGGGAGCAAATGTGACTTTATCCTGTGTTGTAGTGGTTTATCTGTGTTCCTGGCATCTTCCCAACTGTGTGAGTTTTGCCGTGCTTTCAAGTCTGAAATTCTTGCTCCTGTCCTACCAAACTAATTACTTCAGTTTGGCTTGTTTGGAATTTAAGTTACAGTTTGTGTTTCCCCTGTTTTGGACTTAATATTCTACAGTCAAAGGCTGTTCTTGGGAGAGTTTTTCTCCTGCCAGAAGCTAACCTGGACATTGTGGGCAAAGTTGGAGATAATAAAGGGACTCTTCTTGATTATCTGACTGTGTTGCCTTTAGCCATGCCCCGGGTCATCACAGGATGCTGCAAGAGCCATAAGTATGAAAAATGACTCATCAAGAAGTCAGAAGTAACTTTTTTCAGTGCTACTCTTTCCTCATAAATTAGTGAACTTGAACCATTCTTGAAATAGTTTTACATATAATATTATTCAAAATATTATGGAATTGAGCAGGCTGTAACTAATTATCGACATACTGATGAGAGTACAAAGAGAGAGATTGCAGCCATGTTCTTAATTAGAATAATCTTCTAAAAATAACACCTCAAATTATTCAATGCTCTCAGGTTTCAATTAATAACTGAAGGTGATTCAGCACTGCGTGACCAGCACTGCGTGAGGATCTGGATAGTAAAACCCACCTGAGATATCCTGGTCTTGGCCTCCTGTTGACTCATCAGGAAGTCCTCCACCAGGGCCACCGCCTGGGAACAGGACTCCGGCCTCCTGGCTTGGATCCAACTCCGGAGCTCCGGTGGGAGGCTGGCCAGGAACTGCTCCAGGATCAGCAGCTCCAGGATCTGCTCCTTGGTGCGTCTCTCCGGCTTCAGCCACTGGCGGCAAAGCTCCCGGAGTTGGCTGTGGATCCTCCGGGGATCCTCTACCACTTGGCAGCAGAACTGCCGAAAATGCTGCCGCTGCCTCTCCGTTCTCAGGGCTTCCGCCCGCAAGATGGCGGCCTTCACCTTCTCATAGTTCTCCTGCTCTCTGGCTTCCAGGCCTCGGAAGGCCTCTTCCGCTTCTCCGCTCAGGGCTGGCAGGAGATGGGCCGCCCACTGGTCCCGAGGCCATCGGCAAGCT